GGTTAGGAAACACCCAGAGAAGTCGCTTAGGAAGAGTGAGAGTAGCCCCCCAGGAGCTGAACGCAAAAGGAAGCACATGGCCAATACACTGTCGTCTCTGGAAGATAAAATTCTGGGGACAGCCTCAAAGCTTTCCTTTCTTGATCATAGGCGGGTCTGAAGTCAGAGCGGAATCCTACTGGAGATGGAGAGGCAGCAGGCTGTTATTTATGGCTTGGAAGGGCAGACTCCCCCAGTTCACAGCCCAGCCCAAGGAACTTGCAAGGAAAAGACGCCCAGTGGGACTTGCTGAAGTCCCCTGCTATGTGGAAGAGTGTGCTATGCAAAATCGTGCTTTCCTTTCCGAGCTGTTTGGGGTTCTGGGTCTCCAAAATCGCTTCTTCCTAGAGCCAGCATGAGCAGGGGAAGGAAATCAGAACATATTTGTGTCACGGGCTGATATAGTTAGATTTCTAAGAATCAAAAGCAGGTCATCTGACCACGACGGTTGACTAAAGCAAAGTGCACAGAGCTAAAAGCAACAGGAAAAGACTCTTAACAGAGGATTCTAGGAGGCCAGCTCGGCCTTCGGAGACATTTCTTATCTGAGACCACACAGGGGAGCTCTTCTTCTTTCCCCCCCCCCCCCGACTGTGGGACACCACCCGAGGGAGTCTCAAGGCTCCCTGGGAGAGGGGCTGCTTACAGAGGAACACACTGCTGTGCCACTTGGCGAAAAGCAAGACTGCCAACAATGAAGCCAAGGGCACATTGTTAAACTTGTTGTTTGTGCAAAACAGCCTGAGTAACCACTACGGCAGGTCTGTTAGTCCAGGCGATGATCACAAAATCTTCAACGCTAACATAAAGAACCATCCAGTGGCAAATCCCTAGGAGCCACCAAGTCTTCGAGCAGGCTCTTTGGGTTAAGTCTTTCTTCACTGTCGATGAGGGGCAGTCAAAGCTGACAGGAACTTGAACAAACCACTTTAAGTGGTGGAGATCGAAGATGGCTTCTGCCACCTGGAGGTGGATCATGGGTTAGACAAGCACCCGGCTGTAATTTATATTTCGGTGTGCATATATTTAAATCATTTTGACTTTGACGGCACGTGCTGTATTTATTCGCGAGCACTTACTAAATTCTTGCTTTAAAAGATGTGAGCCTCACTTCAACTATAATACTGAATAAGGGGCCCTGGTTCATCTGACAGTCGTGTCGGGTACCGGGCTGAACTGCCGGTAAACTCAGCAACAGGAAGGTGTGAAGTTTACAGGAAGTGGGGGGAGTGGTGAGGTAGCTAGAAACAGGGGTGATGAGTTGGATCAGTCTAAAAGTAAGCTGGTGTCCTGTTGGGGGTGGGGTGGGGAATAAACCCAAAGAACAGTTTATTGTGTTCTTCATGGGTTCTATTATGGGATTGTTTTATTGATTGATTTTTTTTTTAAAATTTTATTTTTCAAGACAGGGTTTCTCTGTAGCTTTGGAGCCTGTCCTGGAACTAGCTCTTGTAAACCAGGCTGACCTCGAACTCACAGAGATCTGCCTGCCTCTGCCTCCCACGTGCTTGTACTAAAGGCATTCTGGGATTAAAGGCGTGCTGGGATTAAATCCCCTGCCCGACCATGGAATTGTTTTATTATGACATTTACGAGGTGATGTTTTTCTTCCTGGAGCCACCTGCCCACATGGGTAGGGACTGAAAGGGTTTCATAGATACTAAGAGTGCCAACAGTGGAACGGAATGTCACAGATCCCAGACTTTCCCCATCACACACACACACACACACACACACACACACACACACAGCCGGGTCCAAGCAGCCGTCTCCTGTCTCCATCACCTGGATTTGAAGAGATGAGGTACAGGTTGACTTTGGACTGGCCAACTTGTTTATCTGGAGGAACTGAAGTAGTTAGGGGCTGAGACTGACTGCAGGGGTCTGTAGGGACTGTAACACAACTGTCATTGGTTTCTAGAACAGTCTATTTGATATTTGCAAGACCACCCACTATTTGTCTAATAATCTGCTCAAACACCCCAGCCAGCCGTCCTACCAGCCACTTCCTGCTTAAGCTAAACCGCAGCTTTCCTTCATGCTCCTTCCAGAAATGCAGCCACGTTACCTCTCCAGGTGGGATGGTGTCCCACTCCAGACACACAGCCTTAGGAATAAGGATTTTTGTTTTGTTTTTTTCGAGACAGGGTTTCTGTGTCGCTTTGTTGCTCGCCCTGGAGCTAGCTCTTGTCGACCAGGCTGAGGAATAAGTATTTCTTCAATGTTCCAGTGAGTTTGTGGAACCTCTTGGAAGTGGCTGGCTCACTGGTTAGGGAGCCATTTTATATTGAGTGAACCTATCCACATGCATTCCTAATTTTAAATAAATTGGCATTTGGAATGTAGCGTAACACGACACTGTCTCAGAACCAATGTGGATAGAACCATTATCATTCCTGTTAACTGCACACAGTAGATGTCCAACATTTGGATGCCAGTTAAATTTAAGAGCGTCAGGCGGTGGTAGTGTCTTTAATCCCAGCACTTGGGAGGCAGATAGGCAGATCTTTGTTAGGCTAACTTGGTCCACAGAGCCTCCAGGACAGGCTCCAAAAGGATGGAAAAACTGTTTAGAAAAACCGACGTGCCAGATCTGGTAACCACACTGCAAACTTGGACGTTAAGTTTCTCAGGGTTTGTCAATAAAACCTTCTCCAGCTATTTTCTTTTTATCTGCCCTAAGCCTTCAAGGCTCAGGCCATAGCTGAGTTATTCAGTTATCTTTCCAGTTCCTAAGGAAGTCATGCCATCGTATCACACACCCACAGCCATCAAAACAAACCTAATTTCCTTGCAGACCCACTCCTTAAGAGTGTTCCGGGCTAGCCTCCTAAAGGCAAATAGCACTGCTGTGGGCTTCGCACACTACAAAAAAGGGCGGTTATCTCCAACTCCAACATAAATCTGTGAACTCAGGGAGCTTTGTGAAAACAAGGCTGTCTTCCACAACTGGAATCACGTCGTTGAGTGTCAGGAGTGCCAGACAGTCTTACAAGGCACCTGATAACACACCTCATCCCACTACCCAAAAGAAGAGGCCGTTTCTTAGGATTAAGCATGTATTTATTTTAGTTTAGTTAAAACAAAACATACATTGTTTCATTGAAACCGGTGAAGCACTCCTTGCCAACAAGCCGGGGCATGTTGGCCTCTACAGTACAGTGGGGACATTTACACTATGTACACAACCGAGGCTCTTGTGGTTTCCACTGTGACCACGTAACATGTTACCAGATAGCGAATGCATTTTGGAAATTTGGACCTCATTTAAAATGTAAGATTTGAACTCAAATTGAAGTCCGGTTTATTGCAAATACAATTTAAACAAGTATTTTCAATTTCCGTATTTATATACAATGTCAATTTCTGATATGTAATTCTCTGTACAAGTACTTTGGGGACTTATATATAATGTAAGTTCATCAAAATGCAGTTCAGAAACTTAGGGGAATATATATACATTTGAACGCAAAACCCAGTTCCAACAGTATATACAATCTATTTACAAATACATATGGACATTGTATTTACAGTTTATCATAAATATTGAAAAATAGGTTAGCTTTAATGGATTAATGCTGCTCTATAAATAACAGTACAGTCATAACTGAAATGTCCATGGAAGACAATGCAACATGAGGTGGCGGGACAGTGGTTTTAATACTGAAGACTGCTCATGAATGGGATTCAGTTTCGGAACCTCAAGGCAGACAGATAACATAGCCTCAAGCTTTGGAATTTGGCCTAAAAATTCATTTTGAACCTTAATTCACAAAAAGATTTGGAAAGTTGAAGCTGATTGACCGTGAACAGGATTTTCTCCTCCACTTCTTTCTGGTTGCCATGACACCTTCTCTTGGATGCTTGGTTTCTCAACATCCCAGGCAGGTCTTATCAGCAACTCTTTCCAGGACTTCAAGCAGAATTGCGAATTCGTGGAACTCCAGGTGAGGTTCTGGATTTGGATGCCATGAAAGCAGCACGGTAGAGTGTTTTCTCACTGCCTCTGCTTCTGGATGGTCCCCGGATTTCATCTTCGGGACACAATGGACCATTGGTCTTAAAAGCAGCACTATCAGATATCTTCCGGTCTGCGAGGGTCTTTAATAGCAGACAAATCTTGCCTATGAATTTAGCCACATATACAAGGCTGTGTAACAAGAACCGTGTGTGCCACATTTCTGGCCCTTGCCTCAAACTAAAAATATTTCGTTCAAGAGATAACCTCAAGAACCAGATGGCCAACTGATGATTCCACTTGCTTCCCTCAACCACTTAATGGAATTATGTCTATCAGATCTTAGACATTATGCCTGATGAGCAAAGTACCACATTATTTAATATATTCAAATACACCGTTAACATACAATACATGTTCTCTTAAAGCCAAGCTTCAAAGCAATGTTTTCACTTTGAACTGGAATTGAAATGGAAGGGAAGCATGCAGCTGGACCAGGAACTAAGTACAACCAGGCTGTACTGTTTCCCCTAGCTAATCATTTGTTTGATGTAAACAAATAATTCTGCATTGTTACAAGAATGAGATGACAACCCAGTGCGAGTTTGGAAAAAGCTTACTGCTCGGGAAACCCAGTGGTCTTTCTGAACTCGCGGCATGCAGCCTGGGGGTCAGACCTCTACTGCAGACGCAGCAGGAACACATGAGCCACGTGTTGTCAAGTAAATTGTGCTTCCAGCAGATGAGCATTTGCAAGCTGTACTTCCTGCTGGAGAGTTCTGGCCTACTGCCATCAGGGGCCATTTTCACCTCTGGAAACAATGTTTTAAAGGGCAGGCCCAAAAGCTCGACTCAGAGAGCTGATGATACAACTCTGGAGACAGACGCAACTGAATAAACCCTGTCTTACCCAATTGCACAAACTGTTTGGTACCTCAAAATCAGTTATTTCATTTCCAACAGAAATATCTGCACTGCTTTTCAGCCTACTCGGCTGAAGACAAACATTTTAGATTTAATGAGCCAATTATCTGGAAGCAAAGAAACTGATGAACAGTGTTCACCAGATCTGGTGCAGCAGCTACCAATTAAAGTGAAATCTGAACAAACAAAACAAACTATGCTAATTCATGATACAATTTTTCTTAACATTTTCCCCGAAAATGATTTTGGGTAAAAAAGTATTTGGCTTATAATGCCTACAAAAAAGGCAAATAATTTCATAATACTAATATTCGTTTTTAAATATCAATGAAATTGTGTTACGGAGTTTATTGACAACTGGTTCTGGATAAAGTTCAAAAAATGCAACTTCTTCAAAGTAAAATAGTGCTTCTGAGGTCTTTTAAAGTATTTTTTGGTACAAAAAATAAGTTTTTTCTCAATGCTTATTTCAATACTTTGCTGTAAATTAAGTGTTTTTCACATCGAATGGTTCCATTAGGCACATTCAAGTAAAATCATAAAATATCCAAGTTAAACAATGACACAGCCAAGCATGTGGCTTGATAAAAAAGTTAAAGTTCGTCCATTCTCTGGAATGGAATAAATAGTCACTTCCCTTAACCCAAGACTCGTGGTTTTGCTGTTAATATCCATTCCTTAACACACAGATAAGTTTCTTAAAAAAAATAAAAAAATAAAAAACCGAAATCAAAACAAAATAAAAAAAAAGTTCCACTTATTCTGCATCCAGAAGAACCAGCGAGGAATCTGCACTTCAAAAGGAAGTGAACCGAAAGCATCAGGTGAAATTTCTGAGCAAGTTGAGTGTTGACTCAACACTGGTGGCAGATGGACTGTTGAGTTTCAGTGGTGCCATTAGTGGCCACCTGTAGAGGCATTGTGCACCCAATCCAGAACAATCAAGGCCATACTTCCGGTCATCACCACTATGCCACTGATGAAGAACAACAGGGCCTGCAGGAAGCAGAGAAAACTCATCAGGGCGGATGCTAGAATCACACCTGTTACAATACTCTCTTACCTGACTAAATACAAACTGTTAAGGGATCAAAGTTACTTAGAGCACAGAAGGCTTTCATGAACCTGTAATTTCTCACCCATGTCCCTATAATTAATAAACGTATAGATTAGAGGGGTTGGACAGCAATGACAGAGACTTATGAAAGTTTGACTCCCTGCTTAGACTTGCTCCTAACAGCTCCGGTAACTTAAAGTAGCCCATTGTATCCATCTTCTATCCCGTGACATTACCACTCTCACAATTTACGCTTCCCATGTCCTCTCCTCCTCTTCCTTTCTCTCCCTGGATACCCTGCCTATACCGCTTGGTTACTGGCTGTTCAGCTTTTTAATCACCCCAATCACAGCAATACATCTTCACACTGTGTAGACCTTCCCACGTTAGACCTTGGTTTGCCGGTGTCTGTGCTTATTAGTTTGTCTCCCCAAGAAAAGTTCACCCCCATTTACTCCTAACCTCATTCTTAGACCACAATTAGTGGTCAGACAGTAGGGCTATGGTCTCTTATTCCCAATACCCCCACAGGGCTGGCAATTTTTTATTCCTACGTTCCCCTGCTAGAATTCTGATTCCAAAGAGCATGGTTTGTGCTTGGCATAGTTTGCCCTTTGAAACAAGATGCTAGCAAACCTAAGGATGAATACAGCCGTGAACGCATTCAGAAGCCCCCAGAGTCCTACTCAAGGACGGTCTCATTTAGATAACACCCTCACCTTTCTTGCTGTGCACACTGGCACCCATCACAGGGTAGGAGTAAGTATGTCAATATCTTTACACTGCTCTTAGCACCGTTCTGCAATTATGTTTCTAGTGCACAGCAACCTTTTAAGTATTTCACTGCTAGAACTTCAGGAGAGACTGAAAGTAACTACTGGTTTTACCGTCACCGCTCACTCACCCCAATCTTTTGCACAGATCTCATGGGTTCTTTCTTCACTAACTTGATGTAGAAGGCAGATGGAAGAATAAAAATCAGCATGGCAGCTGCCGATGCACCTGTAAAAGGGCGTTTATCCTTTGAGAACTCAATGAGTCTAGTTTGAAGGCTCAATATCCTTAGGCATGTAAATCAGAACTTACCAATGAAACCAAAGATGTCCCTAATGGTGGGGACAAAGATGACAAGCAAGTTGGTAAAGGACAAGATAGCCACGGTGATGACACTGTGACGCCACCAACTGAACTCCTTTGCAGCACACAGTAAGTGAGTGATGGAACTCCGGATCTGAAAAAAAAAAATATCGCTTATTGTTTTAGCAATCCTACTTTAATTAGTGCAAAGAATTCACAAGCAATTTACAACGTATCAACGGCAGTTTTTCTAGAACTGATGCCCCTCCCTCCTGTTTGCTGCCCCGCGATGATCTGGAGCCCGCTCTCCGCCACTACTCATCCCTGCAAACCTCCCCCAGTGTGGCCCTGCTGCAGTCTCCCTCCTTAAATCGCCACACCCAGGCTCATCATAGCTGTGCAGGAGCAGGTGGCTACCTACCGGGAAAATAACCACCGGCACCGTGAGGGTGACAGCCATCAGCACAGCCAAACGGACAATCAGGAGGAGAATGTCAGTCCCCACTATTGAGGAGTAGGTGTGCAGCAGCTCCGACTCGACTTGTCCTGTGGGGACACAGCAGAAAAAGCTTTCAGTGTGGCTTTCTCTAGGGATCAAGGAGGAGAGCGGACTCACAGTGAAATCTGCACTCTCACAATGACTACAAACTAAGGCTAATGAGATTAATCTGGAATTATGATTAACGCAATTAAAGTAACATTGGAGGAAATGTTTTCTGAATACCGAGATTTCGCCACGTGACCTCCAGTAAGAACAGGGGCTAATGCACCTAATCCCACTCTGGCTTAGTGTGTGAGCACGCACGTGTGTCTTGTGTTAGCTACAGCTAACGGTGGGAGCAGAGGCAGCGGGCGTGCAACAGAGGCAAGGACGTCACAGAAACATCAGCAAATGGCTCACATCTGCTTCTGAATCTGGATGAGAAGGGGACTTCTTACAGCAAAGATACACACAGGATATCGGTTCCAACAACCTGAGATTAGGCATCACTTACCGTAAAATGTCAGGTATCCAAAGAGAGCAGCAAGCAGGTACATCAGAAACATGGCAAAGAAAGAAATCTTGGACACGTTCATCATCCTCCTGCGGCTGCGCCTGCACAAGCACAACAGAGCGCGTGCGATGGTCAGCGGAACCAGCACGTTACAAGCTACCGTGGGAGCTGCCAATCAAAGCCAGAAAAGATGAAGCCCTACCCTTTCAGCTCTTCGTAGATGGGAAGGATAGCAGGATGGCAGACAAAGGAGAACGTCAGGATGGGCACGGCGTACACGGTCTGGAAGAGACACACCGCTGCATTTACACCCCATGGCATACCCTTGGCAGTCCCCGCCGGTGCTTCAGGGATTTACACCAGAGCTTGGAGGGCATCACTGCTGCGGCATTCACCCCCACTCTTCAATTTTGTTTCCCATGTATGACCAAGACAACCTGAGACGCGCCACTTTGAGGCCGTGTGCCTAGTTTGCTTGTATTCCTAGTCACAGGAGAACCTGAGACTTCTGTCTAGTTCTCCTTTCTGCCCCCCCTAAAAAGCATCCATCATCCAGCCTCAATTTATCTCAAGAGATGTTTTAAAATTCCTAATGGGCGATTTCTTCTTCTCCTGTCCCTCCCCAAAAAGTTCTTTCTAGAAAGCAGGACAGCAACTAGTTACCTGTGAGTTGAAGATAAAGTAACGCGGCGTGCAACAGTCTGAGGCGGTGGCATTGGACGTCACGTTAGACGCCAGGAGGGCCAGCGCTGATGTGGCGTTCACAGTTTCATTGATCATCAAAGCTTCTACAGGGCAAGGGATCTGAAACTTCTTGCAAATCACCTAAAACGTATTTTTGCATTTGTTAAGCAGAGTAACTTGACAGAGCTTTCCAAGGGTATTTTCCAAAAGGAGAAACTGTTACCTACCACAATCAGAAAGAACATCATACACAGCAAGGAGAGGCCACTGGTGTACCCCAAGTACCCTGGAGAGGTGGAGAGAAGGGTTCCGGGTTAATCCAGCAGGGATGGAGAAGAGACTGTAAGACACTAGGGCTAGCAATGGCGTGCTACGACCAGTTGGGGGCTCCACTGCTACGCTGTAAGTGTGTCACACTGCCATTCATTCTCAACACCAGGTGCTGGGTTCTGGTAGACCGCACCGCTAAGTAGCAACACCCGTTAGGAACTGCTGGCTCACCAGGCCAGCTGTGGCGGCGCACACCTTTTCAATCCCAGCACTCAGAAGGCCAGCCTGGTCTACAGAGCAAGTTTCTTTCAGGATATGCTCCAAAGCTACAGAGAGACCCGGCCTTGAAACAAAACAAAAAAAAAACAAAGCAGCAAAATGTCTCGCTCACCTAGATTTCTCAGCAGCGACAATGGGAGGATAAGCACCAAGGACACCAACAGGACCAGGTAGTCACCATTCAGATACCACAATCTAGGAGAGATGAGAAAGGGCAAAAATCGACGACACATCTAACAACACGCACGAAAGGGCAGTTTAACTGAGCGCGCAGTCAGGTTAGAGGTGGGGGTGAAAGGCATGAGCTTCTGCGCCATTCTCGGCTCTGGGAGGACTGCCAGCTGATTCAGAACATAAAACACTTCTTAAAGCTTGATACTAGCGTAGGGAACAAAGCTGCTCTGTGCAGCTGGCAAGCTTATCTCTGAGAACCGTACACCGACATCACAGTTCTCGCCTGTCATTTCTATCCAAGGAGAGAAGGAAGTACGGCAAGATTCTTCAGACGGTTGTCAGCATGGACAGTCATTAAGCATTTCACTAAGGAAATTTCCACTTAGATTAAAATTCACAGGCAACCACTCTCCTCCCCCAAACTAGTCTGAACCAAACCCCCACTCGATTAGAATTTATTTCAGATTATCATAGTAACACCTAAACCCACCTTAATGCCAGAATAAACTATAGTTAAAAGGCCATTTCTGAAACTAAATGTTCCCTAAGTTCTAGTAACCAAGGCCTAGTCTCGCTGGGCATGGTAATGGCGTGCGGGCATGGTAGTGGCATGCACTTGCATGTTCTGTCCCAGAGGCAAGCGGACTATTTGAGTCCAGGCCAGCTAGAATTAAACAAGGAGACCCTGTCTCAAGGTAAAGCCGTTCCTTCTTTTTTTTTCAAAAAAAAAAAATTTATTTATTTATTTAGTTTTTTCGAGACAGCGTTTCTCTGTAGCTTTGAAGCCTGTCCTGGCACTAGCTCTTGTAGACCAGGCTGCCCTCAAACTCACAGAGATCCTCCTGCCTCCTGTTTTTTTTTTTTGGTTTTTCGAGGCCGGGTTTTCTCTGTGGTTTTGGAGCCTGTCCCGGAACTAGCTCTTGTAGACCAGGCTGGTCTCGAACGCCATTCGTTCTTAAAAAGCACTATTTTTAAGTCCTAGCTCCTCACGGGCTCCACTCCACTCATGACAGTAACAAGAACACCACTGAAAAACACTGCTGAAAGATCGGCATGATGAACCAAGCCTCGAAGCGCGCACTGGGAGCCACACGTCCCTGTGTGAGCACACAGTGGGAGCCACAGGTCCCTGTGCAGAGTTGGGAAGCAGATGAGCCTGGCTGTTTACATCAGGCCTGTTCCTCCCAGGGATGAGGAACTGCTGGAAGACTTCACTTTCTACAGCACAGCCGGGCAGTTTCTGGTTTTCTTCATTTAACTATTTTAAGCATGACTGGTATTTTTTTTTTTTTTTTTTGGCGGTGGGACGACGACTTTCTGTCTTAAACAACTCTATAGCCAGCAACTGTAGCAAATGGAATATAAACAGAGATGAATTCGAGCACTAGAGAAGTTCCGCAGCCAGGTTGGCGTACTTGTTATTCTGAGTTAAGTGCAAACCGCTGCGCAAGTCCACATTGCTCGGGGAGGTGGGGGGGCACTTCCCTGTCAGGAGTTAAGTACGGACAAGAATACTTGTGGGAGACTTACTGATGAACTGTTTTATTTATATCCAACTTTGACCAAAAGAAAAAGAGAAAAAAAGTATCTGCGATTGTTTCTATGCAGTAACCTTACTTAGCACCTACCCATTTGTATCTTCAATGTTCATTAAAGCCTTGATCACCAAAGGTAACTCATATTTCACTATGAAGAGGTAGCTTGACATAGCTGGAGGAAAACAAAATTAAACCATTACAAGTGCAAAATGTGGCCTGTGACACCGAGGTCATGTGTCACCACCTTGTGCTACTACTCAACGAAGCCTACCCAAAGTGCCCTTTCAGAACGTACCTCCAATGTTCTGCATTGTGATCGAGCCGGAGGCTGCGAGCTTCCCAGCCAGTCCAAACGCCTTATGCCCCAACTGTTCATATAATAAAGACCCTGCACGGAAGAGCACAGAGGAATGAAGCCCTCTGGAAGCTCTACCCCAGCCCAAATCAGGATAGGCAGAGATGGCTGGGGGCGGGCGGGGGCAGACCGAGAGTGCCACCTACCTCCTTCATTGGCAGTCTTCAAGAGGAGATGAACGGAGTACAAGGAAAATATCGACACAAATGTCAAGAGAATTCTGAGAAGAGGAAAAGGCACACTGTTACAAACCAGCAGGGCTATCCACTTGGCACCTCCCTTCTACAGCACAACCGGTGGCGGTCCCTCTCTCGTCCTTGACTGTCACTACCGCAGCTAACAGGTGAGCTCCGCTGTATTAAATAAAGCCATGTCCACTGTGCCCAATGCAGGGAACTCTGCAAAGCCCCAGGTCTCGGGAAGTAGAAACTTGTACTCTGGTTCTGGGACCATAATTATCTATATACCTGCCATGTGTTCCTAACAGTTTCACTTAAAACTTGCCATCAAACTTAGTCCACAAGGCTTTTATGCCATTCAATAGATGGGTAAGGAAAGGCCAAGACCCCCTGGACCAGACAGACTGTGAGAAAGGAAGACGGGCGGAAGTGGAACTAACATTTCCTCAGACAGTATTTAAAAAAAAAAAAAAAAACTACTATCAAAGAAGTGACACCCGGGCTTGAGGTGACACTATTTGTGTGACCTCTCAGAAAAAGTCAATTAAAAAAACTCTAACAAATCAGGTGACTGGGAAGACACAAAAAGATGTGCCCCACTACAGAACTCTGGGACGTCCACTTGGAGGTAGTGTTTAAGAAAGGAGGAAAGGGCCTAACACCACTGCTCTCCTTGAGTTTCTCAGCCAAGTTCCACTTTCCTTCTATGAAGGCAAACAACGCACTGATTAAAACAGAAAAAAAAAAAAACCCAGCAAATATGCAAATGAGACAGCCACATAAATTCTGACCTTGTATGGGCAAACTGTACACTATGTAAGGTGCTGGCCAAGGGGGGAAAGGCGTCAACAGCACAGAACATAGGCTGTGACCTCCATTCTAAGGTCAGAATGGCAGGACACCCGGGTTTGAGGTGACACTATTTGCCTGGCCTCTCAGAAAAAGTCAATTAAAAAAACTGTAACAAATTAGGTACTGTCTTTCCAATGGATTTCATGCCCCCTGAGGTTGCTTTCAACCTCAAGATTAACTCTCCTTAAAAGGTCCACTTGTCATTTCTTGTACGTGGCTTCTGGCCCATCTACCTTTACAATGTAAATAAGAACGAATAAAAACTCGCACAATCTTGGTATCATTTGGCCATTTATTAAAATGGTTAATCAAATACAAATTAAGCTATTAAAGTAGAATTCCAAAAGTTCAAGGGTTACACGGTAAGTTTTCCTTTCAGTTATGAAACAGCCACCCATAACCACATTGGTAGCATTTTAAAGTTTCCAGTTCTCGTGGCAAGAGCCAGAAAGGGTTTCAAACTTGTGACTCTGATGCCAGCCATTCAGAGTCCCATCAAAAATTGAGATTCCGGAATGTTCTATAGCTAAAGGTCCTGGGGCTTCATTTTAGCAAGAACCGCCTCCAAGACCCTTACCCTAATGCTTTTAGTATCCAATGTCAGGCTTAACATTAGTTAGTGTGGAATTTCATAAAGCTGAGTTTTTCTTCTCATAAACATTGGAGAAAATAACTTGAGGGGAAGGTAGCGGTCAGCTAACCAAAACATAACTGTCACGAAGGGAAGGGACGTTTGTAGAGCGTGTGTGGTTCTGGTGGCGTTAGAGGGCCTTCTACGGAAACTGTCAACCACACATCTACAGGCCGTTTGGAACTTAAAACACTGAAAACCATACACTCACACTTGTACATGCTTCTGTCCTTGGAAGGAGCACTTCCTGCCCCCTGCTTTTCTGAGAGCACTGGGAGTCATGCACGCTAGGCAAGCACTCTACCACTGACTGGTACTTTTATAGCCCATGACTCTTCAATCACAACCCCCAAGGGTCAGTGACCCCAAAATGGGTTAAAAACCATTTTGCAACCTCTAACCAGAAATTTTAGAAATCAGAGGACCAGCTAATTAACTTTTGAAACAATTAGTAGGCTCGTATTTAAAATATTCAGGCATCATACAGATCTGGAAAAACATCTTTAAAAAAAATGGAGTTTTGCATTTTAGCATCCAGAAAACTATGACTCACATGTCCTAAAACCAGCATGTTCTAGGCAAGGTAAATATCACCACACCTTTATCCAGAACTTTTTTTTCCCTTATGTTTGAGGGCCACAGGTTTTAGGGGGAAACTGTCAACTTGTGAAACCCAACTGGAGCCACTTCACTTACTGTAACCTTGGCTTCTGTTTTTAATCAGACATTAGAGTTACTCTAAACTCAATACTTTCTCACTGGCCTCAACCTGTCAGTGTCAAGAGCTACCCAACGTTCTATCTAACCTGCTTTCTTTATGTTGTATATTATGTAGTAAGACAGAGTTTCGGATTTCTCACACGTCAAAGTTTAAACGATTTCTAAATCAGCTATTTGAACTGCAAATTCTTTTCTGGAGCCAAAATATGTTTATTCATATTAACTGCCCTGCATGGCAGGCTCACTACTTACACATACTTACATAAAAAGAGCAATTCCAGTATTAGCCATGGCATAAGAAAGCCCAAGGATTCCACTGCCCACAATCGCATTGCTCAGATTAAATACTGACATTCCAAAGGAAGTAGTACCTGGATGCTACACAGAGGGAAACGATAACCAAACATATAACAATAATTAAAAGGAGCAAACCAGCTTTGGGCAAGTTAGATTTGAAATCTAAAACACTATTCTTTTACTCCATAAAGCCAGGCACATAAGAAACAGTATTTTCAACTTACAAAGTCAGTTTCATACTTCTTCTTCCCCAAATTGGATTCAAGTAAAAAGTTCTGGTTTTCAGGATCTACATCCACGTAATGGCTGCAAAAATAAAATTAAAAAAAAAAAAAAGTGTAATTGTAACCCAACCGAGGGATACACAAAATCGTGTTTTGTGTACATAAAGTAAAACAGCCCTTCGGTTCTGCTACGGCACCTTTTAGTTAATGCCTAAGGAGTAAAGTCTTTCCTGAGATACTGTTGGTAATGCAGTTAACAACCGGGTAATTTAGTAGGCTACTCTCTCCGGGGCTAGGAACAAGAGGCTGGGGCCCCGGGCAAGTATCCTAGGGCCCCGAGGGAGCGTTAGCCTATGACCGCTGAGCCATCCCTCCAACCCGAGGCGATGTGTGCTAGTTCTTATTTATTTATCTATTATTTTTGCAAAGCGCACTTCTCCCACCTTTTCAGAGCAGCCTGCTTGGTGGGGTAGGAGTAGTTGAAGTCACTGTTGGAGCTGTAGCTGCTGCTGTCCTCATCCGGGGAGATGTTGAACCTTCCCATTTCGGTCTTCTTCATGCTGATCGGAAGTGTGCGTCCGGCGCGGGGTTCCTTTTGTCCTTGGCGGCGCACTGGCCCTCGAGGCTGCAAGCCTGCGAAGGTAGAGGCGGCGTCAGGACTGCAGCGCCAGCCCGCCCGCCCCCGACCACGTGACGCCGCCGGGCGGCGCAGCGCGGCTGATTCATCCCCCGCCAGGCGAGTGGAAAAGTACCAGGCGAGCGAGGGGCGGGGGCGCGGCGAGGGGCGGAAAAGTACCGGCGGAGGGGACCGCGAGAACAAAGATGCGCCCGCCGCGGCGCCCCCTCCAGCCACCTCGGCGCCCAGCCCGGTGTCCCCCTCGGCTAGAGCATGTTTACAAGCGACACGCCGAGCCCTCCAGCCGCCGTGGGTCCCCGGTCCCCGGCCCCTCCTCTGCCCGGGGAGGAACTGATGCAATACCGAGCGGCGATTGTCAAACCCTCGCCGCTCGCCTCTTCTCCCCGTGTCCGGATTGATTTCACGTTCGGGTCACTAGACCCGGCTTGCAGCAGACGAGAGCGACCCCGCGCCCGCGCGGCTCCTCGCTTCCTCTAACGGGAGGCTGCGGCCGGCTGCCCGCCCACCCGCAGACCCCGCTCCCGCCGCCGCCCCTCCCCCGCCTCACCTCGGCGCTCTCCCTCCGGGCTGGCCCACCACACGGCAGCGTCTCCCGCAGGCTGTCTCGGTCACACCAAGATCGTAAAAAGACGGGACGAAAATAACAGCGACAGATTCTCTAACGATCCCCGCAATCCAACAGGCGTTTGAGAGATTGACTTTAATTAAATTAGGATCAGCTTTTTCTTCCTTTTCTTCTTTATTTCTTTATTTTTTTTTTTAAAGCGGGGGAATGGCGATCACGATCATCCGGCGCGGGCGGCGGCGTGGCGCGGTGTGGAGCTGCCTCGCGAGCGCCGAGTTATAGCGGCGGGTGCCGCGTCAGTGGGCGGGGCTGGCGGCTGCTCTTTGTGTATCAACAGCACCTGGGCTCCGCCTCCAGGCCGCGTCCCTTTCCCTCCAGCGGCCTCCCGCCCGCCCCGCTACCCCGCACCCCGATTCGGGGGGGCCGGTCGCACCCCGCTTCCTCGTGGCTCCGCAAGCCCGTGCACCGCAGCCCCGTGGGTGGCCGTCCCCCGCGGCTGCCGTCTGGAGCCAGCTCCCAGAAGATTTCACTCCCATCCCAGTCACCAACACTGCATTTCGGGGACACATCCTGCATGTGTGTCCCCCCCCCCCAATTCTACACCTTTTCCAGCCGGTGCCTTAAGATGTACGCGGAACTTGAGCCAGCGCTGCCACGCTACCCTGATGGTCGGATTGTGTTCTCGATCTTTCCACCTAGATCTTGCTTTCACTCTCCCCAGAACTAGCCTGATGATTAGGGCGGCTCTCAGTTCCGTTTCAGGAGAGACTTTTGGTGTGCACGTGGGACAGCTTAGCTGGGGAGATTTACGTTTGACCAGAAAATCAGATCCCATGAAAAGGGGTCGGGGCTGGGGGATCCAGCTCTGCTGAGGCCGCCTAGGAGCGTCCTGGCCACCCCTCGGCGGACACTCTCCCTCCTGCCACCACCCCACCCCACGCTGAGCGCTGCTGTTAGCCACCTCCCCGGGCCTCCACCAAGCGCGCCCTTGTTGGAATGCAGGCCTGGAGCTTTCTCTGCAGCCCGGATCCCTCGCTGGGGCTGTGGGCTTGCAGAGTCGGACGGCTCAGGGGGCCCCTTAGACTAGAATATTCGGTGCTGCCTGAAAGGCGAGGGCCCTTCCTTTTCTGTTGAACAAAGACCCTCGAGGAGAGAGAAATGCTAGTTGAATGAAGGAATAAACAAACGAGTTTGACCTCGTGCTCTCTTCCTTTGGGGGACGTGGGAGAGATTGGGCTGGGCACAGAGGAAAAGACTGGGTGTGATCACGATTTTTGCCTTCAATGTTTTCCTGAGGAAATCTGTACCGCTGCCTATTTCCGTGGCACGTAAGACTTGGGGTGCCTTCAGCCTGTGCCAGTGTTCGTGATTGACAGGGCAGGACCCTATTTCCCCTTTACACCCTGTGTTCCTCAGCCTACACCTTCTACTCTGGTCCTGCCAGTCACACTTAAACAATAGTCTAACTTCAGTACCGCACGTCCCCTTGTCCCTCTCAAGGGCCACTGTCATTCTAGGCTTAGGCATTAAGACCCAGGAGAGCCTTATTCGGCCTGCCTTCAGGGTTCCCTCCTCAGACCTCAGTGCCATTTTCTAAGCCGTGAGTGCAGGACTTTGTAAACCTGTCCCGTCTTGTACAGCCCTCAAATTGTTCAAGTTTGAAGTCTGTGCCGACAGCCTTCCCATGGGGCGGAGAGGTTAGGAATTTGACGTACAATCAAGGCGGAAAAGTCTTGATTACCTTTCTGTGGCCGTACTCCCTACCAATGCGGGCTCTACTCTTGTCAGAAAAATCTTAGTGGTGGGCTCCAGAGGAGCCCGGGACATTCCTTCATATCAGGTTTCAGCTGATAAAAATCGAAAGGTCTTAAAGCACTTTTTCATTCCAGGTAAATCTCTGCCCTGTCAGAGGTGTTCCGGAAGTTCTCTGGTTTGGTGGTTATGGCTGCAATTTGCAATACAGCTAGATCTATTGTCCTTTGGATTTATTGGTGGTTCATATTACAGGCTAGTTAGGGAAGAGCCATACCTGCGAAATTAAATGTGTGTGTGTGTGTGAAATTAAATGTGTGCGCACGCGCGCACACACAATCTTAATCTAACTTTCTTGACAGTCAGAACCTGAACAGTACATGACCAAAACAAAACAAAAGACGTTTTTTCTATCACCAGTTTGAGTCTTCCTAACAGCCAATCAAAACTACACGACTTGGCCTGAAGAGATGGCTCTCTGGTTAAGAGCATTGCTGCCCTTCTGGAGGACCCAGGTTCAGGCTCATCAGTCACGTGCCACTACTGTGACCGCCAGCCAGAACCTGGAGACACTGTGTTATTGCCCAGGAAGCCCTCACTCTAGCCCAGACCCTCCTACTTTAATTACGAATGGCACTTCTTTCCAAAGTGGCCTGGTTTGTGTACAGTTTATACATTTGAATATTACTCTTTGTAACTTCAGTTCCAGGGGATCCAAGGTTCTTTTCTGGCTTCTGTGGCCACATCATACATGTGGTGCAGAGACATAATCGTCGCCAAAACACAGACACAACTAAAAATAAGCCTTAAAAATAAATATCTAACCGAGTGTTTCCCAAGCGAGACCTCAACTGTGTTGGGGTTTGCTGTTCTTTGTCTAGAAGGCAGGAGACGTGATGAAACTGAACCCCAAATGTTGTAATGCTGAAGGCCTACGTTTTTTCCAAACTGAGAAAGGGGCCAAGTGGTTGAGACTGATGAATTCCGTGGCGTCTATCAGCTTACACCCTTCTTTACCGGGTAGGATGGAATGGGGGAAAAAAATCACTATCCTATCCATAGCAAGATTGAATATTTTGCTGTGAAACTTGAATTTTGCTAAATGCGATGCATTTTGAGTTGTGATGTAAAATGTACTTGGCACGGGGCGGGGGGGGGGGGGGGTTTTTGAGCCAGAATTTCAGAAAACATGTCTAGGCTGAACCGGAACTCGGGATCTTCTGGCCTTACCCTCTTCCCTCAACACCTGGAGTTGGAATCACTGCTGGAGCCTTGGCCACCACACTTGGTTTTGTGATGTAAAATGTCTTTCTTGCTGGGACCAATGAAGTCTGAGAGCAACCTGATAGCCTATTCTGTGAGGGGAAGGCAGCCACACAATAGCTCGGATTTTCTTGAGTTCATTGTCAAGGTAAATTGTTGGAAGTTTTACGAGGTTTGTTTTGTTTGTTTTGGAGTTTCTCTACGTGGCCCTGACCTGGAACTTGCTCTGAAGAGCAGGCTGGGCTTGAACTCAGAGATCCGCCTGCCTCTGCCTCCTGAGCGCTGGCATTAAAGGCGTGCGCCACCTCTCTCTGGCACAGTTGTTGGAAGTGTTTTAGTGAGGGCAGATAGCTGCCTTCTATAGAATTATTTGACCATTATTACCTATAAAACAGAATGCTTTGTTTCTGAGAGGCTGTGATTCGCTAACTTTCCCAACCTGTTAAACAGCAGGGCTGAAGAGTGACCCTCAGAAATTTGTTTACCCAGCCTCTCGTGTGTCCCCCGGCGGATTTGTTTCTCCCTGCTTTCCATTTTCAACAAGTCTCCTTCTGAGGTTGGCGTCCGTCACCCGCATTTGGCCTTGCCTATAATTCTACCCTACCAATGATGGACCCTGTGAATCTTACTTTCTGGTCTCTTACCTTTTGGAAATCCTCTCTCCAAGAACACGGGCCAGGCCTACCAATGTGACTCTACTTGGCAAAAGTAACAGCACATCATTTGTTTGAAAAAATAAAAAAGGACTGGCTTTCATATTTATTAGAGAGAGAGAGAGAGAGAGAGAGAGAGAACACAGGCACGGCTCACAGAGGGATGGGATCCCCAGGAACTGTTGGATACACACCTTCCTAAGCCTGGATGGAGGGGGAAGGGCCTTGGACTTCCCACAGGGCAGGGTACCCTGCCCTTTCTTAGGACTGGTGGGGGCGGGGGGGGGGGTGAGTGGGGGAGCAGGAGGGAAGTGGAAGAAAGGGAGGAAGTGGAAATTTTAATTCCTAGTATTAATAAAGTAATAAAAAATAAATTCTAAATGTGAAAAAAAGAACCTATCGGGAGCTACTGACAAGGGAGCTGAGAAACTAGTGTTCTGAAAGGCACATGATCGTCACCACTGAGCCATCTCTCCAACCTCCTCACTTCTGAAACTTAGTTACAAAAGGTCATTGGCTTTTATGAGAGCTGGAGAGATGGCTCAGTGCTTAAGAGCTCTTGTTGTTCATGCAGAGGACCCCGGTTTAATTCTCAGCACCTTCATTGTGGCTCACAACAATCTCATCATTCAGGAGATCTGATGCCTTCTTCCAACATCCATGAGCACCAGACACGCACGTGACGCACACACACACACACACACACGCACATGCACACACCAGACAGAAAAAAAACACCCATACACATAAAATAACCTTTCAAAAAAAAAAAAAGTTTGTGGCTTGCATTTATCTTGTTTCTCTTGCCATCCTCCCTCTCTTTTGCTTTCTTCCGCATTTCCTTCAAGGAAACTCAGCCGCCTCCTCGTAAATTGTCCCATAGGAAGATCCAGGTGGCAAAAGCTGTTATCTGTGGCAAAACCAGGGAATCCCAGAAGCCTGCCAGAGTCAAGAATAAGCTTGGAGGCTTCCTCTTGTTCAAGTCGGTCCTGTAGATGACTTTGTCCCCAGGGGAAACCTTAGTCACAGAAATCTGGTAAGCCCAGCCCAGATTCTTGACCCATAGAAACAAGTGACAATTGTCCATTGTTTTCAACCACTACATTCTGGCATAGTTTAGTACTTATCAATAGATAATCAATATATTCCTTTCATACTCTGTGCTTTTGCCAAAATACACAGCTTATTGTTTTCAGTCACAAATCATTCCTACTTCTTAGAATGTTCTTCGTGCTCCGGTGCCTTGCCTTTCCTACATATCAACTGTTTTTCCTTGAGACTCAACTTAAATGCCACATCTTTCCTTAGCTCTTCTGGATCTGGTGATTCCATCTGAGAATGTTCTTACTATATAAAGAGTCTGGAAACTCCTTTTACTGTTGCCTGTATAGTGTTACCTGCTACCAGTGGAAAAGCTCTAATCTTTGCAGGGCAGCCTCAGTTTACCTAACCTAGTCACATATAAAAAGAAAGTCCATTTCAAATATGTGTACGGATGAAATGTTGTTTTTTTTATTTTTCATTTTAGCAGTAATTGCCACCTGCAACTGTGTTAAATTTATGTGTTTATTGCCTGCTGCCCTCACTAGAGTGTAAAAAGGTAAGAATAGGGCTTAATCTCGTTTGATTACCGTATCTCC